TTACGGGAGTAGAAAGCCTCATCTTTCTCCCGCGGAGCGGCTGGTAGTTTCGAACCGCTGACCTTAAGGTTCGCAGCCCGATTCGTAACCACTACCGCTACCAGAGCTCGATAGAGGGGATATATTTCAAAGTTAGATTTCTGAAATGCCTAGCTGAGAAAAGGTGTCATGGAAAAACCCCTGATATCGTTTTAGTATTGCCCTGAAGATTCTTCAGTGATCCACTGCACATGAAGAAACTAATCCTGCGTGTCTTCTGTTTTAGGGAGAGGAGTGCGCCTGTACTACATCGGAGGAGAAGTCTTTGCGGAATGTCTGAGTGACAGTGCAATCTTTGTGCAGAGCCCCAACTGTAATCAGAGATATGGCTGGCACCCTGCAACCGTGTGCAAAATCCCACCAGGTAACCACCCAACCGTGTTAACAATGTGCTGATTTCTTCTAGTTGCTAATAATTCTAGGAATTAGGAGATCATTTGCACACATTTATATTCCACAATCTATAGTCCTTCTTAAATGATTTTTAAATAATGATACAGTTTTTACACTTCGTTCTACTGTTTTATAACTCGTAGGTTGTAATCTCAAGATCTTCAACAACCAGGAATTTGCTGCCCTTTTGGCTCAGTCTGTCAATCAGGGCTTTGAAGCCGTGTACCAGCTCACTCGAATGTGCACCATCAGGATGAGTTTTGTGAAAGGCTGGGGAGCAGAGTACCGGTGAGTACTACCTACTCGACTCTTTGCATCTTCTGCAGTTCACTTGTACTGTTTCCATCCAGCTTACTGAATTAGGGGCCTTTAAATTCAAGACTACTGGAGTACCTTTTTCAAAGTACTGTGCTGACTTTACAGGAGATATGATTAGGAGCTGTGCAAAAATGTATGTTTTAATATACAGGGTGTTAAATATCTTAAAAGAGTTGATTGGAAGGTTGTATCAGTTCATAGGAGAGCCATTCTCATTTGGGGCTCAGGTAAAGCCTCCTGGTAGAGTTGCTCATGTGTGATTTAAGTTCTAAACGATGGATAAGATTGCAGTAGGCATTGCTGTGAGGGGTTTATGAAGGATATGTCTTCAGTAGAGACGAATCAGGCTAGATAAAGACATTGAGACTAGCTGAATGTCAATAAGAGGTGGAACTTTATTCAGTAGCAGGAGGGGATAGTACACCTTTCAACAAGACTAAAAATGGCTGTGACTGCTGCTATCCTTTATTGGGTTGAAACATAAGATTGCCATCTTAGTAGTGTGGAAATTAGGCCTTGAAAAGTTTGATAATTTCCCCAGGTAGAGAAAGGACTGGAAAACAGAATTGCTTCACTTCTTTTTCTCAACCTCTTCTCTAAAGATTGTTGTCATTAGTGCCGTTGAGTCTGTTTCACACTTGCCAGGCTGTAAACCTTTGTAGGAGCAGAAAGCCTCATCTTTTTAAACAAGGAAGTGACTGATGGACTTTGAATTGCTAACCGTCTGGTTTGCAGGCCAGTGCTTATTCTTCAGAGTCACCAATACTTCCTGCTCTCTAAAGATAGTAGTAAAAATGATGTGATTTAGTTTTACCTTCCCTTCACCAGATCCATCTGGAAAAGAGGGAAACTATTCATTGCTGATTCTACCTTAACACCCCACCCCACCCCCCACCCCCCACCCACCTCATTCTGAAACTAAGTACACTCACCAAAGCTTGTGAGCCAGCCACTTCATGCCTTACATTTTTACATTTCTCAGACTGGACCTGTTTTTGAAGACAGCCTAATGAGATTAAGATGATTAAGACAAGTATATTACTGAGAGAACTTGCTTGCAGCTATCCACTGATCTTTGAGACATGTGTAAACATATTTTATCTGGAACAAACCTATGCATGTATGAGCTGGAGCTTAGTAACAATACTTTTTTACTTAGCCTTATACCGTAATAAACAGAAAAGAAAAATGTGGTTGACAAATATGTCAGAGTTATGTGAACCAGTGCCTGAAGTGAGTTAACATGGTAGGAGTTAAGCCCTCTAGTGCAGGTCTGTGCGTAAGGAAGAGTGGGAACAACTGCCTTAAACCCAAATTAAGAGTTAGTTTCTTGGTAATTAAACTAATCCAGTAATAAAAGTGTGAAAACAAACTGGGAAATATCTAGAATTCAGCAAATGGCAAAGTCAAAAGTAAAAGAGATCTTAGTATGATTACTGAACAAGGCATGGTCCAAGGGAGAAATAGAAGTGCTAAAAGAACAGTCAGAGAGGTTAGTCTTGTGCATACCTCAAGGATAATATGAGTCAACATGTAGAGTGGGGTAAATACAACTTTGAGATTTATAAATAAAAATATAGTTGTTGTTATGTGGAGTCAGTTCCGACTCATAGTGACCCTGCACAGGGTTCCTGAGGCTGTAAATCTTTACGGAAGCAGAAAGCTTCCTCTTTCTCCAGTGCTAAATTGAAATAGAGTCCTGGTGTGATGCTGTAGGATAAGCATTGGACTGCAAACCACAGGGTCAGTGGTTCAAACCCACCAGTCACTCCTCGGAAACTCTATACAGCGTCTCTGTGAGTCAGAGCCAACTTAAAGTACAGAGTCTGTACAAGCCAGATTTTATTGATCACAGTTGTTCTTCCTAGCATGTTTTAGGAGTAATCATCTACCAGATATGTGGGGTCTCCTAGAGACAGGTTTGGGTGGAGACTGGGATTAAAGTGCTCATAGTTAGTGTAGGAGATACAGGAAACGCTGGTAAGGAAGGGAGGGTGAGGCGGGGAGTGGGGAAGTCAGGCAGGGAAGCTGTCCACCACAGTGGGTGGTCATGGGAGTTCATTCCCTCAGGGAAACTTTGAGAGAATTAGACCACCCAGGGGAGAGGTGTGCTAGGGCTTGCCAATTCCCAGGTCACTGGTTGGGGGCTGCTCTCGGGATGTTCATTCCCCGGCGTATCTAGCGTGCCCTACCTGGGGTGGAGCAAGGAAGACCTCAGGCACGGAAATGCCAGTCCTTTTGATTGGAAGTTGTCTGGAGGCACACAAAGAAATCTGAAGATTGTAAGTGGGGCACTGACCCCATCTGTTAGAGAAAAGCACCTCTTGGGAAATACAATTTAAAAACATTTTGAGCTTGTGTTGCTGGGAAATGAAGAGTTAACAATGACATCAACTTTCTCATGCTTGAAGAACTGTCACGTAGAAGAAGCAAGCAGACTTTTTGACTTACTCTCTATAGGAAAGAAGACAACTGAAATCAGTACATGGAGTGACAGGATATCATTGACAGCCCATTTTGTTCAAGTCCTAGAGGTGTTATTAAAGGACTGAACAATGCTCCTAAAAGGAATGTTATTCGTAGGCTTTTGTGGGAGAAGATTGGGTTCTTGACCTTCTGTGATAAGAATGTGGCTTAGATCAAAATTCTGTTTTGTGTTGGTATCCTTGAAATATGGATTTGTGAGTCATTTAGACTTTGATATTTGAGTATTTACTGTTCGGTGGTTGACTCCTAATAAGTAAGGTTCATAAGTTTCGTAGGGGCCATCCTTACTCTCTTTTGTTCTGGCCAGATTATTGATAATGCTTATACTCTCTCTAAAAAGGCCCTATTTGGGGTGGTAAATAATATAGTCACCTTACAAACGTAGGAATCGGTGGTAGTTCATTGGTGGAACCCTCAACTTCCATGCGAGAGGCTCGGGTTTGATTTCCAGCCAGTATACCTGGAACACAGCCACCGCCTGTCTGCCAGTGATGACTTATATGGGCTGCCGTGGGTCGGATTGACAACTTGCAACAGCATGGTGCTTAATAGGTTTTTGAAGTTTCAAGATAAAACTAATTAGGAAGGATGATCTGGCAGTCTGCTTCCAAAAAACCCAACAATGAAGACCCGTGGGTCACAGCTATCCAATTCTGCATGGATTCGTTGCAAGTTGGGGGCCTGACTTGATGGCCAGGGCTCCTTAACTAACAACAGTAACAACTAATTTTAATTTTAGAGGAAAAGAATGTTTTTAGAAACCTCTTTAAATGATGAAAGTGCCTGAAAGAACTTTGTTGTACTTCATCAATTTTTTTTTCCCAAAATAATAAGTATGTAAAGTTAATGCATATTCAAATGAATTTAGGTTTTAGTGTATATACCCTATTAATTTTCCTAAGTTCTTAATAAATGCATGTACCTAGACACAATCATATGTTCTTTTAATTTTACAATGATTTTCTTTATTCATTTAAACAGAAGGCAGACGGTAACAAGCACTCCCTGCTGGATTGAGCTTCATCTGAATGGACCTCTACAATGGTTGGACAAAGTATTAACTCAGATGGGATCCCCTTCAGTGCGTTGCTCAAGCATGTCATAAGGCTTTATCACCAATCAAGTCCCATCGAAAGACTTAATGTAACAACTCTGCTGTCATAGTATTTGTGTATGGTCCCCATGGACTATTTACTATCCAAAAATTCAAGAGAGAAAACAGCACTTGAGGTTTTATCAATTAAAGCACCTTGTGGAATCTGTTTCCTACATTTGAATCTTAGATGGGAAAGCTAGTATCTAGAAATAACCCTCCCATGAAGGAGGAAGAGAAGATTTTTAAAGACTTAATGATGTCTTGGGCGTAAATTGAGTATCCCAAAGGTTTATTATAACAGTAGTAATGATGTGTACGGGAATGTCTCATGATTGGGTACCACAGTATTGTGCTGTTTATATACATGTTTAGTTTGCATAAATTAGTGTGTGTGCTGCTTCTTGTTTTAGGCAAGCCTTTATAATGTTACAGTTCCTAATCTGTTACTCCCACTTCTCCGTTATTTTTGTGTCTTTTTTAATATATAATATATATCAAGATTTTCAAATTATCATTTAGAAGCAGATTTTCCTTGTAGAAAAATGAAATTTCCTGCCTTTTACCAAAAATAAACTAGTGGGGGAAGAAAAGTGGATTCACTTTTGAAATCCTTGACCTCAATGTGTTTGTGGGAATTAAATGATCATTCTTTTTGTGTTTATTTACTGTTAAGTTTTGTTACGGAAACCATAGCGAAGATCTTTCCAAACCTTTTCTCCATTCCCACACTTGTCCTGATATCAAAACAGCATTACCTGACACACGGCGCCAGTGGTGGTCGCACTGGTCCTGTGGGCACAAGTGGCCTCGAGGGGTGACCCCAGGGGTGCAGCACAGAGTGGAATTAGGGAGGAATTCCATTTGCCCTACAACCAAGTTTTAATGGCTAATCATTGCCTTGTGAAAACCTTAGCAGTCTATCAATCGATCCTTACGCTTCATAAAAAAATGCACATGGCAGTATCATTACATTCAGGGGTACCTGAATTATGTCAGTATATTTATTCTGTTTTCACAAAGTCTGTCGATGAATTTGAATACTATTTTTAGAAGGCATTTCAAAATATCTCAGCAACCGAACCTGTACTCTTTGACATGTGAGTACTTTCATTCGATCTATCAGATTACATTATGAAATGGACCTTTTGTAAATGTTACTGCTTCTGCAGAATACTTAGGAAAGTAATGCTGAGGTATGATGAGATAGGGGCCATCTGTTTTAAAAATATATTGTATTCAATTGGTAAAAATCAATGTTATTTTTCAAAATTATGAACTTAGAATGAAAAGATTGGGAGAGAAGCAATTTAGCAAGTTTTTCAGCTTGTAATTATTTGTAGCCTGAGCTGGTCTTAAAACCAGTTCATAACTGTCTCCATGACGGACTATATTATTACCACCCATATTTTAGGCTCTGCTGTCAGAGGAGATTTCATAAACTTTTGGTAGTCCATTGTGCAGCATATAATTCTCATGTCTACTATTAACTCATTGCAATTTTTATATGTATATTTTTTCATCTCAATAGAAATGGAAAATAACCACTCCTAATCCCCTCTTAGTAAATTTTCATATTTTGAAGATAGCTATATCTTTGGTACTTGTTCTTTGAAATCATGCTCACTGGCACATACCGGTATCATTTTTCAGTATTTTGAGTATTTGATTGTTTTCTATTGGGTACTGCCCATGTTCCTATATTTGTATGTTATATGTATTTGTTCATATAAATATGGCAATGATTTTTTTTTTTCTTCCATTCATTCAAAAAATATTTATTGTTTCCCTATTATTATGTGCCAGGAACTTTCTTAGCCTTTGGCATGAGGTGAACAAGACAGACATGGTACCTCTCTTTGCTGAGCCAGCAGTTACAATCCTAAATCATCATATTTGTCGTGAAGGGAGACAGATGGGGTTCTGTGCTTGACCATATCAGAGGTGGGGCTTCGGGTAGGAGCAGCGGGGAAAGCTTCTCAAAGGAAGTGACTGAGCTAACACAAGACAGATGAGAAGGAACAAACTGGAGAACCAGGAGAGAGTGGCCTTCTGGCAAAGACAACAGCATCAAATTCATTTTCAGAAGGAAACCCATTTGCTAGGTGTAAATGCTTTATACAAAAACCACTACACAGATCCAACTTGGAGGATCAGAATGGTTCAGTCATTTATAATATGTTGAAGGTGGCCTTATTTTGTGATATACTGTTTCATATTCTAGGGTTTCTTCTGTCTTAAACCCTGGTTGAACGTGGTTGTCATGTGTACCAGGTCAGTACCACTGAAATGATCAACCCCATCTTTAATCTGCCTGGGGTAAATTCTAAGTTTTCACCATCGTAGCAACTGGCTGCCTGCTACCAGACTGTCATCAGTGCATAACTACTTCTACTGCCAATCGTGTGTGTGATTAGGGTCAGTGTCCCATCAGACCTGCTGGAGCTATTCCATGATGCTCTGTCTCTTCCTGAGAACATGTGGTGGTAGGGAACAGTTTGGGGAGCAGTGGATCAAGGCCGTGGCTGTTTCCCTCATATTGAGGCAGTACCAGCAATGACATTTCAATATGGAGCACATCTCTACAGAACTGGTGGGATTTTCCAGCATAATAGGAAACCGGTACTCAACTCTTTGGAAACACGCGTGGAGCATTGGCTTCATCATGGGTGGATGATATTTGTGTGATTATGTATATTTGCTTTTTAATGAGATGCTCTTTTTGCAGTCTATTTACCATGACCTAATATTTGTCTCTGTTTTTATTTTAATGATTCCTAGCTTTTATGGGTGGTGGTTTTTACTGAGTGATAGGGTCTCCTCTATTGAATTTGGTCTTTATCTAAGTTAACAGCATTATTTAGAATTCATTCTAAGCCATACTGGTCATTTTCTCAGTGGGACTTAAGTTGAGAACTGAGTGACCATGATTTTTATCAATTCTAATACCACTGGTGCTTTTCTAGGTGGGGTTGATAGGGAGGGTGAAGAGGGCTAGAGGCTGGTGTTCACATAGACTTTGGTCTAACCATTGACAAATGCTTTGTTGTAATTGTATATTGGGAGTTCCACATTTGAAAAAAGAATTGCATTTTTAAAAAAACTTTGAAAAGTAATTGGTTGAAATGAGGAATATGACTGGATGTAAGCCAACTTTTTGGAGCATCATAACTTATTATCTTCTTATCCTATTCTAAAGAAGTTTTCCTGATTAGGTTTGAACTACACCAATAAGACATTTCAGCTCATTTAACCTTGTGATGCACATTCATTTCAGTAAACACATAATTGATGCTTATTATTTACCCAGCCTTTATTCTTATAAACGAGGTTCGCTCTCTCCACTCTCAGGACCTATGTGCCAGAAGGAAACCTGCCTAACTTTGCTCATAAGCTAAATGTACTTATTCTGTACTCTTCATTTGTATTCTAGTATATATCAACAAATTGTTTTAATGTTTAGTTGTTGTTTTTTAACTGTAAACCATACCCAATTTTACTCCCATCTCTATTTCAAACACTGTCAGATTGTTGTCTGTTAAAATCATTTTAAATTCACTTTATTTGTGCCTTTATTGTTATTTTCATTAAGGCTAACACTTTGAAGGAGTCCTGGTGTGGCATTGTAGGATAAACACTGTCTGCTAATTATAAGATTAGCAGTTCAAATTCACCAGCCACTCCTTGGAAATCTGTACTTGGTCTCTATGAATCAGAACCAACTCGATGGCACTTAACAGCAACAAGACTTTGAAGGTGAAAAGCAAACAGCCACCTTCTTGCTAGTTAAATAAAAGATTGTGTCAAGGGGGCTTCAAAAAGTTTGTGAAAAAAATCATGGAATTTTTCTACAAACTTTTTTAAGCCTCCTTGCATATACCCAGTTGGCTTATCTACCTCAGCCAAAAGCTATTGAAATATACCTTAACATCTTTCTATCTTATTGTAAGTATCTGAATACTCTGAACATTTATTCAATATTAGGAACCAACCCTCTGGTCTGCAGCTGATGTGTGAGATGAAATAGTACCAGACAATCTTTACTTAGAAATTGTCTTTATGTAGTGAACATGCACCCAGAGCATGCCCACTACATAAAAACCCAGAGACATACCTAGTCCATAGCCCATGCTCTTTTCCTCGGGTGCTTTACTTTGCTCAATCCTTTATGCTCATCAACTGAATTTTTAACTTCCTCCCCTTCTGACTGCGAGGCACATGACAATACCCATGCCTGCTGTGTGCTGTCTGCACACATCCGAATGTGTGTCTCCTTTTGCTTTTACTAATGTCTAAAAGGAGGGTGATCTTCATACTCAGTCCTAGTTTCTCCACCATGAATACTGATTTGTTCAGAAATGTCTCTGGGACTGGCAAATAGCATTAATCATCAGATTTTCCTTGAAATTGTATCTAGGATTATAAACTGTTCTGACTGCAGCCAATGATGCCACGGTTACCATCTTGGGCCATATTGATTGTGGTATTTAAGGCAGTCAAGAGTAATGATGGTGGCAATGGGTGAGTCTTCAGAGGTAGTCAGCAATGTGCTTTTGAGTTTCTTAACATATCTTTTCAAGGCTATCTTGTTTGTTCTTGTTTGCTGTTTGTGTGGGCGAATCAGTAGAATTCCTGTGTTATGAGCATCTCAACCAGGAATGTGAGCCATAGTACATAGCCCCATGATGACCTTGATGGTACGAACTTGTCTAATGTGGTCTCATGAATTCTTGAGTAGGAAATGTTTTATCTAGAATATCCTAGCTAACTTTATATATAGCAGAACTGCCTCAGATCTTTTTAGTAGGAAGTAAAGTATATGTGTGTAAAATTACATATTGATAGACACTCCACAGAAGAGCTAACAGGGATAGTTACAGCAATATTGAATCATTTGTTTAAATCATTGACCTCAGTAAAAAATTCTTATTTTGCCTGCATTTTTCTTTCATGGATAGACTATCAATAATTCCTTACCCCCCCCTATTCTGCCAGAGCCCTAATTTGGCAGTTTAGTTATTAGTATGACATTTTGGGGCAACTTGACAAATAAGAATACCCAGAGTTTGATATTAAATAAAACTCCGTCACATATCCCTACACCAAATTATTCATTCTGTGTTCCCTGGGAAGTACTAATTTAAGGATTAACTTGGGTGGCAGTGAGGGAAGTAATGTTCGATTGCTCCTCTCAGTTCTGCTCTGGTGTCATACTACTGTTGAAGTACTTCTACCATGTCAAGTTCTCTAAGCATCATCTGAAGGTGGGTCAGACCTGACTTGCCTAACTTGATCAACACAAATGGATTTACTAAGGTTCTTTGGGTCATATGTAGCTCACAGGGGATCTGACCAGAGTACATAAGCCTGTTAACTTCCTGTTAGTTGGTGTGCTGCCTTGAGATCATCATGGAGTTAACAGTTTTCATATAAAGGCTCATTTTGCTGTCTAGAGTGGGGATGTGGATATGCTTTTAATTTTTAGTTAACAAAGATGGTAATTTATTGAATAAATCAAGAAATTCATTGTATTGATGTAAGGGCAAAAGTGAAGTTTTATAATTACCAAAATACTATATGCTTTC